TGAAAAATTACTGTTACATGTGTGGCTGAGAGATGGTTACCAATGGGAGTGAGTGACGGCATTGTGTCCTGACTTTAAAAGCCTCATGGCTGCCATGTGTAGTACCACAAAGGCACATCTGTGTCAGCCTCTCACTGTGAACAGGCTGCATTAGTTTGATAGGGTATCATTTTTGACAGAGCTTAACAAAACCAACTGTTTCGAAATGAATTCTAATAATAATAATAAGCATTGTCCTTTCATTCAGTCATTTAAAAGGGTGTGAAACTTCTACAGCAACCTTCAGGGCAACCAGCTGTTAGCATTCTGTAAAATCCACGAGTAAAACACACAGGAAGTTTACCAAGGATTCAATCACTTCTATAAGCTTTTATAATTGGCCTCATGAGGGAATTTATACACAGTGACAAAAAGGCAAAATTGACTCAGCCATATAAATTCCTTCAGAAAGAGTTGTCCAGATATAAAGAGACTGTAAATGAAAAACAGCTGTGGACCAGCTGTATGCGACCTTTAACCTTGTCATAAAGTTGGCTCACTCGAACAAAAAAGGACCTTTTAATGACCCTGGATGTGTATGTGCAAACCTGGCTGAAACGCAAGGCACACTGCTATTATTTTTACAAACTCAGCTATAAGGCTGCAGATGTTATTCGATTAGGAATTTTCTCTAAGAACCAGCCCCAGAATGGTGTATTTTCTTTAGAGAAATGCAACAGTACTTTTTTTTTTTCCTTTTTTTCATGGTCCCCTGTTCCACCAAGAATGGGAAGAAAACATCTGGAAGACATTTTTTCTGGCTTTTTAGAGGGCTTAGCAGACAGCACAATGGAACTTATCGAATCCAGATGTGAGGGCGCTCAGAGAAACAGCGAGGCCTTCTCCTGTTTATCTCTTTAAAATGTACATAAGGATAAAACAAATATCAGCTCCTAATACAAAGCATAACTCTTGAATCATGACCATATTTCCTGATTACTTAGCATCCCCTGCTAGTCTTTTCAATACTATTACCATCAGTGATTTTGGCCAAAAATCTAGCCTTGTTTTCATTTGCACAAGGTATTCAAAGAATGTTATTTCAGTATTTTTGATGACTTAAGTCCTCTGCTGAAGTAGGTCCTGGTCCGGTGTGAATGTTTGTTACGGGCGAACACCATCCAAAAGAACTTTTGGTTAATTAATGATAACAAACCAAAGTGAAAAGAGTCAAAACAGATTTTCTAAGACGTGTGAAAAGAGTTCATTGATTGGGGGAACGAAGGCATAAAGGAAACCTTTTGGAGTAGAAGCCAGATTTAGTCTACAGCAGATATGCTGATCATAAAACTACAAAACAACTGTGGTCCCACACTGGGAGGCCAAGGCGTCCTATTACACTTAAATGGATGTTATTTAGTCAGACGCCGGAAAATGTCTGGAAAATCAGTGAATTCAAATTCTGCATGTCAGGCCAAATATGCCAATGAATCCAAGTAAAAAGCCTGAAACACTGAGAAAATGTACGACTACACTCTTGTTATCTTTCTCTTTGACCTCCAATAGTCAGAGGAGAATTTACTGACACAAGGAGCGGTGGAGCTTCGACGGCAAGAATTCCTTTCTTCAGGCAATGAAACTGTAAACCTGACAACGGCAGCAATACGAAAGTCCTGACCTTTACCTCTGAACCCCGACCCCTCTTCTCATTCTTAACCTCCATGTCTTATGGGCCTTCTGTTATTACCACTTTTCACATTATGTTCAAAATGAGGTTTCCTCATTAATGCCAGGGCAAGTTGACCTCCCTGAAGAACTGTGGACTGTAGCTTCACTCACTGCCTCTAATAAAGCTAGACTTACATTCAGTGTGCTGATCCTCCATCTGTGACCTCGGGTTGCTTTGAACTTTTGGTTGGGGACAGTTTGGCAGTGTGCAAAAAATACACTTTGAGAATATGCTGCAATCTTAGAGGCATACCTCAATCCTTTCTCTTTTTAATATTCAGTTTATCAGTGGCTAAAATTCCCTTTTACAATATTAAATGCTATTCTGTGACAGCATTGTAGGCTAACAGGCTAAGCTACATTTCACTGCAGACCAACCAATCATGTTGAGGGTCAGTGCACCAGTACAGCCATAAAACTGCACTAACCAATATTTGATATGAACAAATGAGTGTGTAATGTGAAAAGACTGACAAATAATGACAAAGCCACAGTGAATTATCACCGCAGTCTGCAGTTTTCTTCAGCTGTACTTGGCATTTGAGCATCTTTCCGCTTTTGTGCTACGGTGCACAACTTTGCTTTTGTTCACCGTCACTGTTTTCATCAACCTTGTTTCAGGCAGTAGAGGGCAGCTTTTTTCAGTGGCAAAGCTCAGAGAGACCAACTGATCACTACCTGCCCAAAGTTAGCAGCTAGCTCATTAGCAAAGTAAGACATTTAGCAAAGGGAAAGATCGGGATATTTTCCTCTGGAGTCAGCGGACACCAAAACAGAGCTAAAAGGAGAGTGAATATTTACCTTACATTCACTAGGTTGATGGAAACACAACTCCAACTGAAATGTTAGCCACACCAACTTTACCAGATTACTGTGGCAAATGTGTTGCGTTTTCACCTTGTTTTGTCGTTTGCAGGCGGTGAAAAATATCAATGAACAACTTTACAGACTAAAACTAATTTGAATAATTACATTTTACATATCTTATATCCTATTTAGCTAAATGACTGTTTAGCAAATCTGGTTATTTTACGAATTAGGAACTGTATCCATTATGGATCTAGTTATTGGACCCCAATAATGCAAAAAAAGTATAATTAAATGAATAGATTGGTTCTAAAATATTAACTTTATAAACTGGCTGTATCAGTTGTGTGTTGTTATAGTTGCCAAATCACTGTTTTTAATTTCAGTGGATTCTAAACCCACACAGTTTTAGGAAATCTACCTCCAGAATATTCAAATAATTACAACAATATATTCAAATTTAAATTATTTATGAATATGAAATAAATAGGAACTACAGTATTGATTTTAAAGTTTACCCCTTATAGATATTTCTGTTATACCTGCATTTTTATGCAAGTATACTGTGTGTAGAGTTTCAGATAACCACTAATGGTGGGGATGTGTCCGGGCAGGCTGCAGCAAGCCCTCAGATGAATGCATATCCAGGTCCTCCCTGAGGCTAAGAGGTCATCTGGTTTGGGTCAAGATGAATCTTTTACTGATGACATATTGTCTGTAATTGTGCACAATCATGGGGCAGATACATGCCATAAAAATGCAATAATTTTACCATAATCCAACATTAATGTGAATATTACTGTAAAAACTCTAATTTAATCAAATACTATGCAAATGAGCAACATGAAGAACCAGATAATGAGTTTACATAAAGCTTGTCATGTAATCGGCATGTTGCTAACACTCAATCATTGAGTATTTCCCATTCAGCATGTGTCAAGTGTCAAGTTTCAGGAAGTGTACCGGTCCTCTTGAGGATCACTTACAAGACTCTGGTTGCTCTGTGTCAGTTTTAAGAGCTGATTAAATCCAGCCTGCAGCATCAAAACCATTTCAGGCCCATGCTCTGTAACGTCCTACCAGAACCCCAGTCCAACTCCAACTCCTCCTCTGTCATCAAAAATGACCCAGATATGGATCCAACCGTTATACAGTGACTTAAGTTGTGTTCAGTTAACAACCATTGTTTGTAGGCAACATGAAAATAAACCAGCTGCAGTGATTCCTTCATATGTTGAACAGTATGATCCATATCAGCCTGTAAGATCATTTTAACTGTATTTGTTTTTCTTTTATCAGAATATTTCTTTTTTTCTTTTTTAATTTTCTGCAATTGGATGAGTTTGAAATTCAGCATCTAGCTGCAGGCAACCACGTCACATTCACACCATCAGCACAATCTTGGGACACTTTCAAACGGTCCTCAGCAGACAGAAGAAGCCACCTGTTCCCCTCCAAGTCCCGTGTCAGAGCCTCACAGCAGACCACCAACCATGCCAGGCAGTCTTAAGGTGCTAATAATAAATGCAGGCCAGACCCCATCCCCACTGCCACGGCACTGCATGACCTCTGAGCACCTATGGGACACAACAGCCCCACACAGGAGTGTTTGATTATGATATGGACTAGGTTTTAACTTGCGTTTTAAGTTACAAAAGCCACACTTTCATATTTTCAGACTGGGTTATATACGTCTTAGTGAGACGCATGAGGAGAATCATTAGTGGTATATAGTTGTTTGAGTCTTTGCATTGGGCCCACTGCTTCAGAAACTGTGTCCTGATCCTGATGTAGGAGTCCTTAAGGCAGCTCCACCCTGCCACTTCAGACAAGTTGCAGCCCCTCCCTATTATGAAAATTGTGCTCATCCCTCTCATCAGTTAAAAAAAAAGAAAGGAAGAAAGAAAGAAAAAAAAAGAGATTGGAAAAGCCTCTAAACTTTCTTGAGCTGCACTACAGCAAAGTTACTATTAGAATACAGTAATAAGTCTGCAAAATGCAACACAAAATTAGACATCATCTCTGAAAAATACATTACATTTGTCATCCAGGGGCATACTGGATATTCTTTCACTTCTTATGCCGATTAACTTTAAGCATCTAAGTTAATATATTCAAGCCTGGATCTGTATTTATCAGCTGGTGGAGGCTTCTGCAGTTAGAAACCTTTTGCTCAACTTCACTGCAGAACCAGTTCCTCCATATCCAGACAGAATAAGTGGCCAATTCCATATCAGCCTTTCTCTAATGAAAAAAAAAAAAAAAAAAAAAACTTTCTCTGAAAAACATGCAGTCTTTTGATACTAACACAAGTCCCATAGTTTCGGGGGAAAAGACCAAGCTGAATACATTAAAGCACCAAAAAACTGCACAAAGATGAGTTGAGGAGAAGGAGGAGGAGGAGGGGCGGACATCACAGTGATCCACTATAACCAAAGAGGAAAAACTCCAAAACTGTGTCCACAAATCTCACAGCTGCTTCTTACCTGAACTTGCATGCGATGTGACAAAAAGCAGAATCACCGCTAAAGTGATTTGGGCGTCCCTTATCCTCCGTTTAACTTTCCATCTTATATGGGTATCCATGACCGCCAGAAGACGTCCACGGCAAGTGGATTCACTTTTCAACTTGGAGCAACTAATTAGACTTGCAACAACTTCTTGGTCAGGACAATACTAAAAGCCAAAAGTCCCAGAGAAAGAGAGAAAAAGGGGGAGGGGGGGTGTATCGTTATTTCTCAAGCAGCCATAAGGGTTTGTTAGTGTGGGTTCCTCCAGCTATAGTTGACGGATGGGCACCGTCTCTCCCGCACTGCTCCTCTCCTCTCTGCTCTTCTGAACTGTCCTGCGCCGCTGCTCCTCCGATCAGAAGTGTTGCCCCCTCCTTCAGTCGTCACATACAGCCCCTTCAAGTCCAACGGGGCAACACACGCACACACACACATACACATACACACACACACACACGAAAAAAAGTCTTCCCCCCAGGCTGTCACTCACTCCGCGGACAAGAGGTTCAGGCAAATCAGAGGAGGCCATATATCAGAGCCAGCCCTGTTATTGGGCCGGGGGAGGGAGGAAAAGTTGAGAGAAAGTTTCACGCCTACACTTCTCTGCACGTTCTGAATTATTTTACATGGAGTCCGCTATTTCCAGAGGAGAGTCAGAGCGGGAAAAGCGAACTGCATCTGAGTCAAACCATGAATACATGCATGGATTTTCATTCGCTGTACAGGCTGGATTTGCCGTCCCATATACTTCCACATATTAGGTTTGAGCCAGTATCTTATTAAACATTGTCTTGACGATCTGTACTGAAACGTTTAAGTTGTTTATTATGAAAAAAGTCAGCCTGGTTGTTGTTGGTTTAAGGTAATAACCAAAGTTGGTGACTGCCCCCCCCCCCAGAGCTTAATCAAATGACAGTTTATAAAACATCAACAAAGGCTGATACTAACAGTGTCCTGCATGTTATCTAACCTGGGGGCATATTAGATGATATTGTTTTCAGTGGTTGTATTTAATCAAATAAGGATCTAAGGATAGAGGGTGTTATATGCTGTACACAGCATAAAGCACTTGTGATTTTGTGCTGTATAAATAAAAATTGACTTCACTTAACCAACAAATGCTCTGGTACCTCTTAAAAAGTTTAACCATTCAGTTCCACGTTGAATTTATGATTTAAAGAATAAAAACTTATGAACAATAACGTTTTATTGTTGTGTGCTTCTTCATTTTTCCATTAAAATGAAATGCAGTCATGGAATTCATTAGTTGTGTTGTTGCCGAACCTTTGGCCATAGAGTCTCTTATAAGGGAGCCCTGCGTCATAATCTAGTTTAGTTGTGCTCAATATAGGACCATGGTGCATATTCCTAAATAAAATTATGTTACCATAGATCAGCTGACAGTTAAAAAAAAAAAAACATAGGATTGGAGTTTACTGCAGCACATGACTATGGTTTCTGCGTCTCTGGGCAAAATGTTATTAAGCTGAGCAGGAAATTTAATTTGTGGACTTTGAAAAAAAAAATCTAACTCTAGGTTTAGATTTTTTTGTTTTTGCTTAAACTCCATGGAAGACGAAGGTTTGCTGTGCACTGATGGGAACTTGGAGGTGACGGAGTACAGAGACCAAAATGTGTGAATTGCCTTACAAACCATTAGCCAGTTTTACCATCCGTAGTTATCAGTCTATTTAAGATCCAGAATCTTAGCCACCACAATCATATAAATGATAAGAAAAAGGACTAAGGTGCACCAGCAATTAAAAAGAAGATGAGTCCACAGGTGATAATCAACCTCTGGCAAGATGGTCCTGCTTTTTTTCATTTCATGGACAGGCCCAATTTAAGAGTAACAACACCAAGCTCTAAAGGAAAAGAACATTTATCATTGAATAATCAGGTGTTACATGATGTATTGGTTAATTTTTGGTTTATTTTTTTTTCCATCTTGACACCAAAACAAACTGTAACTGCCATTTCTGCCTCCCAAGGACTCACTAAGCAGTTACATTTCTATTTTGTTACAAAGAGACATAAAACATTTTGAGCCCATTTGCCTGTACAATTTGCTATTGTAAGATTGTATATATACTTACTTTACTGTACTCCCCCTTTTAATATATAGTAATACAAAATTTAAAGGAAGATTTTAATAACATATCAACCAACCAACTGACATTTAAAGCAAACCTTTCTCGGAGGCTGTGATTAAGTAAAATATTAAATGTCACTGTTGTATTCTAAAACAGTGAGAACTGTCACAACTGTGAGAAAGCAGCTCAAATGTGATCTAATCACAGAAACCCACATTAAAGTAGAATACTTAAATAATTAAGAAAAACTTTTATCAAGCCAACGTGAGATTCAGACACCAGCTCTTGCCGTCGTCGTCTCAAGAACAGTCAAAAATGGCAGCTGTCTTTTATAAGACGGCAGACGTCCATTAACTGCCCAGTAAAAGTTGGCTTTAAACGCAGTAAGCAAACAACATGTAGGCTGTGGCCACATCTGACAATCTGTGTGTGAAAGATGAGTTTGAACATAGATACTCAGTGGTTACTGCAAAGTTAGACCATCTTTAACATGTACAACTTTTATTACAATCGTCCAGAGGTGCTGCTTTAATGTCCTGGTGTTTAGTTGGTAAAAACTGTTTATAAGCTTTGGGAGATATAAAGCTCGTCTGTTTAACATGCAGAAGAAGACCAACTTTTACATAACTCACATTTCAAAAGGCCCTGAAGTAACCTTCAGACGGAGGCTTCCTTCACTGACAAACTGAGGCATTTAGTAAAAAGAAAAGTACACACCAAGGTTGTTCTCAAAGGGGGAGAAGATATTTACATCAAGAATAAACTATCCACTCTAAACTGACCACTTAGCCATATAATGGTTACATGGTCAGATGTATGGGTCAAATTATGGCCTGAGCCCTGTATTTAAGATGGCTTTATACCTACACCACACAAATCTCAAATCTCTCAAACTACTCCTGTACAAGGCCTCCACTTGCTCCCTTAAACTGCCTTCTACCCAAAAAACATGGTGATTTATCTGAAGCCGGCAGTTATGCTTAATTTGAGGACTTTCAGACAGAATAATCTTTCACTACAGACAAAAAACAAAAAAAGTAGGCTCTATAGTCTGAAACAGAGAAGTGTTTCTGTTCAGAGTCGTTTCTTCAGCCCCCACCTCTTTGTCCTACTTTCCACATCAACTTTCACCGGGTGTCGCGCTCCATCTGAGAGCCAGCCAGAACCTAAATCAGTCAGTGATGGATGCCTGCGCTCAGTTCATACTCCTCGGAGTCATAACTCAGTCAAATCGGAACACACAGACATGACACACACGCTTTCAGATTTGGTGTAATTTACACTTACCGAGGACGACGTGCTCTTCGATGTCCACCGCAAACAAACGTCCATAAATCGACGAAAATGAGAGGGAAAAATACGATCCACAAACTCCGCAACTTCACAGAGAATTATCACGTTTTATCAAGTAATAATTAATATCAAAATACCCCAGAGTGATTGTCTGTACATCCCTTAGTACGCTGAAAAATATCCTGCTAATAGCTGATTCGGCATAATTACAATGTTGCCAATCAGACCAAATGTAAACAAATACATGCTCAAGGCAATAGGGCTAAAGGGCTAGCTAACAGTAGCCTACAGCTACTTCCTGTTTACACGCGCCAAAGCACGAAAAGTATGGGTGCTGTAGTTCTGAAACTCAGAGCGCGATTATAAAACCAGAAAGAAGTAAGACAAATAACAATAAAAGCACCGACAAAATACATAAATTTTACACTAATAACTGTTTTTTTTGTTTTTACCTGCTTTTTAAAAAAATATTTCTTTGTATTTTTACAAATAGACAAGGTTTAAATCTGACGGTAACATCTAAAAGTTCATGGAGGACATTTTTGTGGGCCAGACTGTAAAGACAAGAATACACAGACAAGAGTATGTCTTCTTCCTCTTTAGGTTCCCTGTAAACAAATGCATTTCATTTGTCAGGAACTTGTAAACTTTGCTCAAGCTGAATTACACATATTTAAACCTGCAATTTAGATCTCTCAATCATTTCCCAAACACCCAATAATTTTTCACAGACCCACATGTCAAAACATCACCCTCCAATGTTGTGATGGAGAGGAATTAGAGAAAGGAGTTGATTTTGTGGTTTCACTTTAATGATAGTGTCTTTGAGAGCCAGAAAAGGGGAAATTCAAATACACCACACCAAAAGACCAGATAAACTGTGGATCCTGGCACTGCAGCTCCTGGCGGCTCCAAACATAGATTAGGCCTTTACGCAATGTAGGATGTTGTACTGTACAGCAAGAATCAGGGAGTATACTGCAAATACAACTTCCCTGTGTGTGTGTGTGTGTGTGTGTGGTGTGTGTGTGTGTGTGTGTGTGTGTGTGTGTGTGTGTGTGTGTGTGTGTGTGTGTTTTGTGTGCTTTCTGGCACAGATGCAAGTCCTGAGATAGCCTACAAAGGAGGCAAGTGCACAAACAGGGAAACCCAAGAGCTGACTTTCTCTTTAAAAAAAAGACGAGCCAGACACCAGTTTTATATTTTCAAATCACAATCAAAGGGTTATTCATTTAGACAGGCATCTGACAAATGCACAATGTCTCCTGGTCAAATGGCAGATGTTTTTTCAGTTTGTAGCATTGCATTTTTATTAGATTATCATGGCTCTGCAGCACAAGCTGCTGTAAAAACGTTAACAAATTCTGATTAAGTATGAATGTTTGTTATCATGACAAAAGCAATAGAACCTCTGATAGAAAAATGGGCCTAATGCTTTCTCTACCAGATGCACATTGGTGCTGTTATGTATTGATGAAGCCTATTTGGCACAAGTGCACTGTATGGCACAACACCATATTTTCCATTCCACAATGTGTGACGCCATCCATTCCCAGATTGTATCATGGCAAACCTCCCCAAGCACACTGTGGGGAAATTTTTGCTGCATAAAGGGACTTGACTGTTAAGTCTGGAGAGGAAGAAAAATCTTAAGAGTACATACAGTATACTTGGGATTATGACAACACTGTCATCAGAGAAGAAAAACACACTGGTGTTTAATGAGTCAGTCTCTGCACATGCTTCCAGCTACAGCTCATCTCTTCTTTGACATATTGTATTGGAAAAGATTTGAAAGCCCACCTGTATCGAGAAGCAGGCCAAAAATGTTAATCCCAGATAGGAATCAATCAATAGGCATTAACTAAATTAAACATGACAATAAGAAGATGCATG